TATATATATATTGCTGTATTTTTAAACTTTTTTGCGATAGTTCAATTTTTTAACGCTAGTGATTAATTTGAGAGAAATTAATTATTCAATAGTGTAATATTTTAAAAAGATTGCGATATTTAATCCTCTAGAAAACTTAACTAAAAATTAATGAAATGGGCTTTCACCTGGAAATATAGTGGTCCCTCGTGATCGAACGGGGTCGTCTAACTTGTCCGTCGATCGTTGTCCTGTCATCCTTTTGCTGTACGAACCTATGAACAGGAAGCATTTAATAAGTCTCGTTTCATTTACTCCGAATTATAACTAATTTTAATTTCTTCCGAAAAATAATTAAATCTGTGACGTTTACGGTTTTCTTAATAATGCGTCACAAAAACTTCCTAATCCTATGGGAAACCTACCCGACCAAATTTTCGGAAGTAATTCCCTCGCGATCCTGCGCACCGTCGAGGATATCCGCGATCTTGGCGCCGACCTCCTCGTCCTTGACCAATCCACCGGGGGCCTGATCGATCTGCGATGTTTGCTGCGATTGTTGAGACGCTGGAGGAGGCGGAAGGGGCGGTGGAGGCGGCGGGGGCCTCTCGAAGAAGGACTGCTCCTCGTCCAGGCCGCTGTCAGGATACGACACCCCCTCCGTCCTCGATAGATACGCGATCGTGCTCGGCGGGAAGCTGCGCGATTCCAGACGCGATTGCGAGCGCTCGCGGGGACGCTGCCTCGTCAACGACTGGCAAACAGACAGACGTGCTTCAATTTAACGGCATTATATGATATTTGCATTCACGGATACAAATATACATTGAAATTGCGAGTTTCCTCCTCCTTCTCACTCCAAGTGTCAAATCCCACATCGTTTGGAGCGAAAATCTAAGATTCTAATATTAAATTAATACTACGTAGGCCTTTGTAAAGATGTACATGTAAAAAGAGAAAATTATGATGACGCACAGACTAAATAAAAAAGCTGAGAAAACATCGAGGTCCTAAACTTACTAGAAAATATAAAATTAAAATCTTTGACAATCGTCCCTACAAAAATATAACGCTCTTTAAAATATCTCGCGAATGAGAAGAAATAATTCGTCAACAATCCCAGGACCCAAAAGGACTTTATCTCGAAATACTTGCGTTTAAATTTATGCTGAAAAATTCGTGCATTCCATCCCTTTTTGCGTTTCATAAAAAAATATTTGCTAAAGAATTTTATTACATCAAAAATGTCAAAAAAATTTTCAATATCAATTTAATGCCTATAACGGAATTATGTAATATAATACACGTATCGCTATCGATAATCTATAATTTCTAGAAAATATCGAGAGATTCGCCAGAGGAAGAGGCGTAGACACGGTGCGATTTACGATCGTATACTGATAACGATTAGAAATCAAAATATATACGTTAGAGCAATCGACGTTAAAATATCGTGGCTAATACTGCGCTGCCACACCCCGAAGTTACGACTCCGATGCCGCTAATAAACTGTCGGTGCTGTCGAAAGCACAGCCCACGCGCGGCCCGACCGGCCGTCCACTGGTTGGCATTTACTACTGGCTGCTAACAGCAAGTAGTAAGTGCCAAGCATACGGCAGCCGATCACCCCTCGTGCCTGACCAAGCGCTTCCCGCTATCCCTGTGCGAAACTTTGTAAGCTAACCGCGTTAAGCGGCAGTTTAGCCTGCCAACTTGCACCGATATTGTTTCTTCGGATGTTGCGGCCTTCGGTTAACGAGACATCTTCGTCCAAGTTCGCGCCGTTTATACGGTGTCCCATAATGAACGAGTAAAACTTTAGTGTGTGTGATATATTTTCTTATTAGGCAAAAGATTTATCAACAAAGTTGAATAACATGGCAAAACATTTCGAATTATCGCCGAGCTCGTTTTATGTAGAGAGATTTTATAGAACTTTTTTTATTTCTCCAAAGAAATCTTAGGGCACACATTTTTTAAAATACACCCTTTAATTGCGGGGGCGAGTAACGACCGAGAATCGTGCCGACCGCGAAGATATAAAATCCGATTGAAAGGGCTCGATACGGAGCAATAAACAGGATAAATGTTAATTCCACGCAAGCCGTGCGCGAAATTAAATTCCGTCCAATTTTATAGAGGCGTAGATCCGCTTCTATGGAATTTTTCCGCTTTAACGAGCCCGCTATTATCAGAAAAGAAAACACGCATCTCGTCTCGATTCGTTATCTTCATTCGTGCTAAATATTTTATATAAATTCTTTGACATATAGAACATATATTTGTGATATATTTATATTAATATTCCACTAAATACATCGAAAAAAAATTGGTATCTTAATTTTAATTATTTCGTATACTCTATCTCCGTTTTTTTATTAATCACGAAAAAATTACAAAAAAATTGTTAAATTTTGATAATTAAGAATATTATACTTGTATTTTTAATTTCTTTTCTAGTAACAATTTACGATACAATTAATTATATACTTTAAATTAAGTCAATAATGAACACTTTTACTTCATAAAATTAAATTATATTATATTTCCCGCAAAAGTGGTATTATAACAATTGTCCTGTCGTTGAAAGAGTACGAAAAGAAGACCAAAAAAAAGAGACACCTATGGAGAAATTGATATGCAAAAATTCGATTATCAATAATTCAAGAGTTTATTAATTCGTATCGAAGTTATTATTGAATAACGTTATTGGCCAACTATTAATATCGATCAACGATGATAAGTAAACACGTAATGAGTATTTACTGGGAAATCCATCATTTCACGAGCGTATAATTAAACGCAGATCAGCATAATCCGGCATTAACGACTACAGATGCATCGCGCAGTGACAACTTTCAAATGGTTTATATATAGCTCTTATATCGAGTTCTACGATTCCACTGGGGCCTACAAAGACATGCTAAAATTTAATAGAGCATGTATCAAAAATATGAATGAAAGAGAAACAGAAATTTCTATGTACATATGTATCAATTATTTAAAAAAATATAATTTTGTTCAAACAATTAACTCGAGAATCAAAGATGAGGTAAATCTCTTTCTCTTAGAAAGAAAAAGAGATTTCCCTTTATTTATCTTTCGCATAAATGTAATAATGCGCGCGACTCGTCGTTTCCGTGAAATTAAAAAAGAAAATGAAACAGAAGAGACGGAGAGGCAAGCGTGTCACGCGCGTAACGAAGTGTTTTAAATCTTAGGGCGGTGTGTAACGAAGGGAGTAGATTACCCTCGTAACTCGCCCTTTATGCGTTCCGCTCAAGAGACGTAATTAATGGCGGCCGGTGCACGCGTTTTACACGCGAATTTTTATTAAAATCTACATCGTACGAGCGCGCGCGCGGCACGTGTAATAAGAAGACAGCAGTAACATATGTTAACGCGAGAGTCTAATAAACTTCATTATTAAGTAAAATCGATATTACATTAATTAGAGAAGGCATGGAACGCGAGAGCGCATTTATGTTCGCGGCAGATGCGTTTTTCGAACTGGCTTTATTGACTGTTTCTGTCCGGCTATTATGCATATATCGTGAAATAGGATGCAATTTTTTGCGTTACAAATTTTTTCAACGGCGACAATAGTGCGGAGTTTCTCAAAAAGCAAAGAGAGTAAAGTAACTGCGATATAACTGACAGCTAGTTTCAAGAGATATTGTGTTAGAAAAAGTAGTATAAAAAAATATAATTAGTAGAAAATATTTGTTATGTTAAAAAGGAAAATCTTTCTCTCTCTCTATATATTTTGTCTCCAAATATCATGAACGAATGTGCATGATAAAATGTGTTTGTGCAGAGATTTTGTTTCAGATTTATCTGTGCTAAAAAGAGCCTTTCGAAACGGTTTAAGCAGAACAGTCCGCGTTTCCGCTTAATAAATTTCATTATTATGAGAATACAATCGCGCGAATCGCGGAATTATGATTCGATCGCGCGGAACGAATAGCGCCAAAATTAATTTATTATCCATTTTTCGGATTTTATCTTCATTTTATATTCGGTTCTCTAGTCAAAAAGAAAAAAATGTTTCAAACAGAATATAAAAATTCGAAATTATAAATTTAAATGATTATTTTTATATAAAAATTGTACGACCTATATTTTTATGTGCCGTTGAATTCTGAGCAGAATCGAAACAATTAGCTATAAAATAATTAAAGTTATAAAAAATCGCAACTTATATAAAATAATTTTTTAAGAAATAACATATTATATATAAATTAAATATTATTTTATTAACGAATAATAGACATCCGGTAATATATAGCATCTTTCGAAAAATCATTCAGAAGTTATTAAAGTTTCACAAATACTTGGAGCAGAACATTTTATCGCGTAACATAATTACGAATAGCCGTGAATATTTTCCATTCGATTCCAAACGACTTTCAGACTACGACACGATGCTTTCTGGGTCGCGCGTGAAATATTTTAATGGTTCACGGTGTAGACGAAAGAGAAACACACTTTCCTCCAGCGCGGTACATGCTCCAGGCGTTGTCCGGCTAGTTCAAGTTAAGTGGTAAGTTTTGAAATATGGCCAGTCCCGCGCGTTTGCAGCACAGGAAGAATGCATTGCGCAATGCGTAAATACATATGTGTAACACCCACTCGATATATTCAACCATGGCCAATCGAAACGCCGAAAAAAATACGAATCTGAACGTATTTCAGGATAATTGACGAAATATCGTCGAAATATTAATCCAAGATTAAAAAAAAATTCAATTTGCAAAATCTGTTTTGTCCCTACTAGATTTTTCAGCCTAAAATTAATATTTTCTCTGTCTTTTAAAAGTAAAACAACTAAGAAGTGAGTCCATTTAAAAATCGACTACGAAAGTCTTTTCGCTGCGTTCGATTATATACCTTCGATATGAGCCATAGATATTATGCAACATAATATATCTAAAATATAATCGCGGCTTGTAAAATACTTGAATAATTCAAAGGTAAAATTTTGTCTTAGCTCGTCGAGTGCAAAGTTTGCATGGCCGGAAATAAGCCCTTCTGGCGTAAACTAAAACCAAAGTTACGTAATGGGGCGACGGGCGCACGGGTCGCTCCACTTTTATGACCGGAATTACTCTCTACTCTGGCTAATCTAAACTTTAAAGTTAATGTAACGTAATTCAGCAAAAAGGTGGTTTACACTCGGCCGGCTAATTACGTCGCATCGATTTGTCTCGTGATCTTAGTAAAAATTCATCTACGAATTTAACGAGCCCTTTCGACGATCCTGATGCAAAAAATATTATCAAATAAACAAAATATCAAACAAAAAATTTACAAGACATGAATCACAAAAAAGATTATCGAAATAGATTTTGACATAATTAAAACTCGAACAGTTCGAAGTGGATCAATGACTCACCTCGACGATGTAATGAAGACCCGACAGCGTCATCCTTGCTACAGAATCTTTCCTCCGTACCGGTTGCTGCCATCGTCTGAGAGTGACACTCTGTAAATATTGAAAAAATGTGTTTCTTTTCTTTTCGCAATTTCTTAAAGTCCCGAATTTTTTCTTGCCAACAAAAATTATTCCAGTAATATTATTGTTGTTCTCTCTGATTACACACACCCTCATCAAATTATTTGCAAAGTCATAATTAATTTTTACATCTTAACTTCGTCACAAATTACATAGTCATTGTCAAAAATTGAATTGAGTTAATTCTTTCAACATGATACCTCTTGACTTGTCCCGCTATCAACTTGTCGATTATCATGGAATAATCGCGTTATCGTTAATATGATCGCAATCGCGTTAGAACGTATATTCTCTCATGACATAATGCACTTACCTCCGGTGTCTCGGTCGTGTCCGGTACGTCCCTGGTGATGTCCGGATCCGGGGGCTTGTGTTCCGGTAGCAGAGCGCCGTACTTCCTCGACGCCATGCGTCGCCGTCGGTCCAGCCATCTCTGCTTCTCCAGAGTCTCCGATTCCTCGTCGACTCCGAAGAACTGCGCTGTCTCGCGTTTAATATAACTGCAAGATTCGATAACGTTACAGGCGTCTGATCGGATTTAAGAGCGACGATCGCTCTTATCAGTGATTAACGTTCTACAGTAATACTCGAAGACTACTCACTTTCGTATAGCCTCGGTACGACTTTGGTTCCTCCTAAGTCTCGGCCGTTGGGCCGCCGAGGCGCTCACCGAGGAGCTGCTGACCTGAACCACCGGCCGAGGTGGTGCGCTCGGCGCGGAGACGCTCCTGGCGATGCCACTGACGTTTCCGGTTGCGACAGAGACGCCGGAAGTGGCCGACGACGGCACGGTCGCCGACGCCGTCGTCACCGACGTCACCGTCGTTGCGGTAGAGGAGGCCGCGACGCCCACCGGGTACATCCCGATACTCTGCGTCGCGTCGCCCTCGCCGGTCGTCGATGATACCGTCGAGGTGCCGGTTGTCCCGGAACTCGGCGATGGTTGCCTAAAAAAAAACAGAAGAGACGAATGAACGTTACTCATGTCGTTACTGCGTTTTGTGCGTGGAACTGGAGTTGCTGTAATAAAAAATTTTTTGGAGCTCTGTCTACTACATTCATTTTATCAGCTCACAAGGGAGATTTAAAATTTAATATTATAATAATATAATATATAATATAATATTATAATATATTATAATATATTTATTTAATATATTTTTATAATATATTTAATTTAAAATTATAAATTATTTTTTAATTACATTATTAGCAATAAATTAGCAAATTTTTACAGTTATACGATAAGTAGGGAAATATACATATTTCGGAAAATATATGTACGCGCACGGCTTGAACGCAAGGTGATTTATACTCGCGCGAATAAAAAAGGAAAATTTCCGGAATTTCCGCGACGCCACATTTTTCTCGCGGCGCGGTGGGGCAGCTGCATCCCTCGCCTGCATTCATTTAGGCAAAGTGCAGTATCGGGGAGGTGAAAGAGAGAAGGGAGTCGATATCGCGTGCATCAAGGGTAATTAATGGCAAACCGCCCCTTCTTAGACGCCCTGTCGTCGCTTGCCTCGAACGCACGTGCCGTGTTAGTTAATTTTTTTCCCGGGAAAAATTCGTGAATTTTTTTTTTAAATCCGGCACAACGCTAATTCCAAATAAATTGCACAGAAAATACGATTAAGGTATTATTCACGGTCCAAGATTTGACAACCGCAACGTGAAAATGTGCTCGATTACCGCGAATAAATGATCGCGAAACTTTGGCAAAAATATTGACGTATGTAAAAATTCGCAAAATAAAAGAGCAATTCGCAGGCAAAGAGAGATGGATGCGAAATAGGAAATGGAATAAATGGGCATTTAAGAAAAAATGTTCCGATGATAAATTTTCGGATGACAAAAAAGATGATTATTAAAGTAAGTTTCAAACCATATAAGAATGTGGGGTGCAAGAGGGGGACTGCCGAAGCAAAATTCGCTGAAAGAATGCCGCGCCACGAAATCGTCTCATGAATAGATGAGGAGAGATAGAATTGAGGACTTCACCGAGCTTGCAGCTTTCATGCAACTTGAATGGGCGCGAGAGTGCATCAAAAAAAGCAGTGTTTTCAGGTGCTAGATTTCAGATATGCCCAGAAGAACTTATGAATTTGCAATTAATGGAAATGTGTATATACATCAGAGAAATAGACAAAAATATTTGAATTTTGACATACTTTTTTTCACATTTTCTCCCAAGTTACTTTTAACTATTTAATTAACGCGAAAAATTAAAGAATTGTATACAATTAAAACAAATCTTTTATAGCTTTCCCTTTAATATTTGTGCTTGATGTAGTTGTGTTTCAGCAACCATCGATATTGTTATCACTCTTTAGCTCTATCCTTTTACGTGATTTACTTAATGTACGGATAAATTAGCCCCTCCCTTAACAATAAATTCAGTAAGATATTAAAGAGCGTAAGCGCAGATTCTATTTTAGTGTTTCGCCACCCGCGATGTTTGTTAATAATTTCTACGTCGTTCCGGAAACTTGCCAGCAAGGCGCGAAGGAAGTTCCCATCGAAGAAATACTTCGATCGGAAACTCCTCGCGCCAGGAGACGCCGCTTCTCGGCGCGTGTGTATCTCTCGCAGGTACTTAAGTTGAGGGTTCATATATAAGTTTCAACATAAATACAGCGTCTTGTTTCCGCTTGTTTCGCCGCCGCGCGCCACCCCGAGCCGGAAATTAAGGACGTCGCGAAGCACAACCCGCCCAATTTCATTAGCCCATTTCGATTTGATAAGACGCGCGACCGCGGATAAATGCATGGGTCGATGATAAATTGTGTGTCAGATATAAATAAGCGTACAATAAATTAAAGCGACTGTACAGGATGTTCTAGAATAATTTACTCTGAAAAGCCATTTATATATATATATAATTTCAAGAGATTGAACAAGAGTATAACAAACTTTAAAAGAGTTCAAAGATCGAAATCATGCAAAAAAAATTGAAAAATAAGAAAAAATAAAAATTGATTTACTTGATGGAGATAGTAAAAAAAAACATCGGTAAATTTTCTAAGGAACTAGAAAAGTCTAGGATAAAGAAAAAAATAGCTATTAAAAAATAATTAAAATACCGGAAGAAATTGGAGAAGAGATTAGAAGAATCTGAGAGAAATCAAGAGAGGAAATAACTGGAAAGAAACTGGAATAGATCTAATGGATCTTGTAAAACAGCTATAACGAGGAGAAGAAGGAAGAGGGAAAAAAGGAAAGCGCATGACTTTTCAGAAAGATAGACTCAAACGGTCCGATAGACTGCTAGATGACAAAGACCAAGGCATGTCTAGAAATGAGTCGGAAGAAACTGCAACGAGCCGAGGAGTGACTGAAGCGGACAGAGAGAAATCGAGCGAAAAGAAGATCGGGGGAACGAATTGGGAGAAGATGAGATGGAAGAAACGAGAGGCAAGAGGGAAGGGAGGCCACGTACGTGTCATTCTCGCGAAAGAAGGACGGGGTTTAAAACGCAGAAAGAAGAAGCTACGACTCTCCCCTATCAAGCGGTAAATAGTATAGCGACGATGGCCCGGGTTGTTTTTCACGCGAGTAGATTTTTACAACGCGAGGTATTACTCTCCCCTGCCCTCCCTGCCAACCCTTCTCACCACCCCTTCGCGCCATCCCTGACTTTAGGAGGGTGTGGCCTGCGTTTTCCTGCAGCTTTCACACATCGCTTTTTCACACCGCCCGCCAACGGGCTCGACATCCCTCCGCTCGTGTGTTCGTTCCCTTGTCTTTAATTATCGCTTTCGTATCTTCATTTATTACACGATGATACCGCTATAAAGCGACCCCCTCGACAATTTCTATTACTTCGCTTGACACGCAGACCCTCAACATCACGTTCGCTAATTAATCGTTTGACGTAAAGCCGATTCTTTCCGCGCGAATCTCCACTCTCTTTGCGATTCACCATTTTCACGCGCAATGTACGTGTCGCATATCCGCCTTTAGGCTCTTTTCATCTGTACAAACTTTTATAATTTTATTTTAGATTTATTTTCATCTGCCAAGTGTAATCCAGATACAACGTAATAAAATAAAAACTTGTAAAAAAAAATTCTATGTAAAGTGTTTAAAGTTTAAATCTAATAGTGAAATATTTTTGCGTTAGTGAAAGTATATTTTTATTAATAGATATTTATTTCTCCGAGAGATGTTAATGCTTAATTTCTTGGTAATTATTTATATATATTGATTGCCAATTTATATTCTTGCAAAGTTGCCTTTTCCGATATTTCTTTTTCAATATATTGTTCGTAAATATACTTTTATTAATACGTTTTTTTATTAGTACTATGCAGATGCAAATTTATATTATAAATCAAGATTTTCTCTCTCTCTCTCTTCGCAGTTGCAATTTTTCAAAACTATGTTTGCATATTATATTTAAAATTAAAGAATTGATGCGGTGTAAACAACATCATAAATATCATTTCATTAATGTAATACAAAAATACAATATTGTGTTCTTTTTATAAATTAAAAATCTTGAAAAAACAGTTACAATATTGTTTCAACTTATGCTGCAAATAAAATAAACAGACCTATTTTATTGCTGTATTAATACTCTCCATTATTAACATTCATGAATAAAATTGTTAAAAAACTTAAATTATAAATTAAATATTTTCCTTTTAATCGCACTTTCTATATTTTTTTAATTGTACATTTTATCGATATATTATGTCAATGTGTTAATTGTGAAAAAACCGAACTGTTATACATACTTTTAATCGATTTACTTGTTTTCTCGCTGCTGCTTTAAGATAAAATAAATGTAGTCGAGAAAATAAAGTTTTCAACCCTCTTTTCTCGTCAACTAACCCCGCCTTGCTATCACTTCTGATTGTCCTTAATCGCGATGCGGCGCGCAAATTAAAATTGCATCTCGTGTAGCTGCAGTAATAGCCGCACTGCGTAAAACGATACTGCAATCGCATGATGTAAAATGTAAAGGCAAGTTGAGCGTAAACGAATCCGCCTCTGTAATTACGCGCGTGGAATTTTATGTACTAGATTACAATATTTATGTCTTCGTGATAGCGCCCTTGTTTTGTTCATTAAAATCTATCTCTCTTTCTTTCTCTCCCGATACGCAATAAAATTACTTTGATTAAAGGAGAGGAAAAAAATGATAAAAATATAGTTGATTAATTTTTCGATCGGGGAAACGTGTTATATACATATATGCGAGATATATTAGACTTTTTTGACTACTAAATTGTAGAATGATAGGACATGTTCTGATTCTGAGATAGCGATACGCTATCATTCCGATTGATAAACCGATTTGCGTTGAAAGCGAGCCGACATAAGCCGCAAATAATAATTACGATCGCGTGCGAACCGGTTATTAGAGGGAGTGCCGGAAACTGCTTCGGTTACTAATGATTATGTTCGTTTTTCGAGTACCACCCTTTAATGGCGCCGCTTAATCAGAGCCACTTCGCGAGTCCGCTAGACTCGCCCGCCGAGCAATCGATTGATGTCTGGAAAGTCTGAACAATACAAAAAAAGATTGCACACAATTGCCATTTTATATGCTGAATCAATGAAAGTCTAAACTTTCGACGATTGACAAAATGTTAAAAGAATCATGTATCCCTCTGTGGTCTTATACATATATTTCTCTTATATATTTATAATTAATACAAAAAAAATTTTTTCTCTAAAATGAGCAAAAAAAAAAAAAATAAAATAAAAATTAGATACGCGAAATTAAATTATATTCATTTAAAAAAATATATTATTGCACTTAATAAAATTACGATAGCGAGAATAAATCTTCATGAAAAAATATAAAAGTTTTTTTACCAAATAAAGATTTCCCGGATTTATTTTTATAAAATTCTCTCCAAAAAAGAAGATTTTTTTAAACAAAGCAGATTGCAAGCTCTTTTATAAGAGTCAAAAGAATCGGAAAAATAAATGTTTT